CAGTATGTTGTCCTCAAGTGGACACTTGCTCTCCTCATTGGGTTAGGTACAGGGCTTGTCGGCTTTTTCAATAACCTTGCTGTTGAAAACATAGCTGGTTTCAAACTTCTGTTGACAAACAATCTCATGCTTGAGAACAAGTAAGCCTAATCATCACTGCAAGTGTTTTTCTTCATGATAAAGTGCTATTATTTTCTGTTAATTCTCTTGAGATATTATACCATATTCATATTTTATACTTCTACGAACAACTTTTTGTTGCTCTCTGAGGTCCATCAGGCATTGAGCTATGTATGGGGGTGGTCCTCCCCAGCCCCCCCTCCACACCCAATCCTCAATTAGATCTCAACGTATGACCCCATGTCAGAACCAAGATCTAGTATTGGGGGTCTCCTTGACGACGCATAATTCTCTAGATATAACAGAACAACTTTATATTTTTGCCTTATTTTTTTGTTGTTCTGCAAATCAAGTTTTTGTTGGATTTTTGACTTGTACTCGTGATATAATTGGCTATGTTTTTATCATGAAACAGCTTAGATGCTTATGTTAGTTTTCTTTTAATAAACAAAATGATATAAATGATTCTTTTTTCAGTGCAGGTACTATCAGGCATTTGCAACTTATGCTGGTTGCAACGTGGTTTTGGCTATTGCTGCTGCAGCCCTCTGTGCTTACGTTGCTCCTGCAGCAGCAGGCTCTGGTATACCAGAGGTTAAAGCATACCTCAATGGTGTAGATGCTCCTTCTATTTTGGCTCCTGCTACCCTCTTTGTAAAGGTGAATCACAAACTATCTGCAACTCTCTCCCCGTGAACTTTATAGGTTCTATCGGTTCCCATACAATTACTGGAATTCAGTGATTGTCTGAATGCTTTAAATCAAGTTGTTTCCCATAATTATTCAATGCATACAAAGACATAAAGGCCAGATCCAACTCCCATGTTTCCATAAAATTGTAGATTAAATCTGGAAACCCTGTTCTAGTTGTTACTAGATATGCATCAAAATTAGACAAATCATTGTAATATTTCATCGTCTAGCCTCCAAACATTAATCTGTAACTAGCATTTTCGAACGAGTTCAAAGCTATTCATTCACCTATTTCATATGGGAAGCATGCCAATCTCTTGCACTGTCTAAATGCCAGCATAAAGGACCGCTTGAGTTCTGTTACATGCAACAACATTGTTGTTTGAGGCATAAAAAAAACTATGCAGTTAACAGAGAATGCCATCGATTTTCCTGCATGCAAATGAATATTTTGGTGGCCAAGCCACTACATGCTCCTCAAAACCCAACCCAAGTCGAATTGCCTTCCTCATGGGTTTTGCTTACATGTTTGATGAGACTGGATGTGAATACACTACCTTGTCAAAATACATCAGGTGAAACAACAAATCCCAAACCGTGTGCATTAGTTCTTCCCATTGAACTTTTCATCAGAACACAAGCAAAATCTAAACAAAGAGAAGAGTTCTGTTAGTGTCTCTTAATGTGAGAGGATTTTGCTGCAGATTTTTTATGCTGAGTATTTCTTTTATTCATGAAGTATTCTACTTTCTTTTGTCTCTGTGGAAATGCTGGCTATAATTTTCCTGCCTTTTGTTGGTGACTGTCTTCCTTATAACTGTTTCTAATTCATGATGAGCTAATGAGTGGGGAGATCTATTTACAAGAGGTTCAGGAAATTTGATGTACTGAAGTTTTTATATTTAATTTGAACCTCTCAGATTTTCGGGTCCATATTTGGAGTTGCTGCTGGATTTGTTGTTGGTAAAGAAGGACCCATGGTACATACTGGTGCTTGCATAGCCTCCTTACTTGGACAGGGTGGTTCTCGCAAGTATCATTTGACATGGAAATGGTTGAGATACTTCAAAAATGATCGAGACCGGCGAGATTTGGTTACATGTGGTTCTGCTGCTGGTGTAGCAGCTGCCTTCCGTGCTCCTGTTGGCGGGGTGTTATTTGCCCTTGAAGAAGCTGCTTCCTGGTAACTCCTTGTTCTGTTACCATCCTCTCCTCCCCGTTTCTACAAAAGTGTTCTTTTCTTCCTTCTTCTACAACTGGGTGAAATATATCATTTTCCCATATTGTTCAGGTGGAGAAGTGCCCTTCTTTGGAGGACCTTCTTTACGACAGCTGTAGTAGCAGTTGTATTGAGAGGTCTCATAGATTTTTGCCGATCTGGAAAATGTGGGCTATTTGGAGAAGGAGGTCTGATCATGTTTGATGTAAATTCTGGAAAAGCCTTTTACAGCACCCCAGATCTACTAGCAGTTGTGTTCCTCGGGGTGATAGGAGGTGTTTTTGGAAGCCTTTACAACTATTGTGTCGACAAGGTTCTTCGCACGTACAGCCTCATCAATGAGTATGCCCTGAAAAGTCTCTTTGTATCAATAAGTATTTTACTGTTAATGTTCATCGGCATTTTTCTCATGAATAGTCATGCTTTATATTTATCATCATACTGAGCAATTAAAACATAACTTTGGAAAAGAGAGTGTGTGTGTGTGTACATTTTCAGAAGGGACTGACCCAGCAATTTTCCATTGTAGAACATTTTCCCTCAGCCACTGACTGTTTGACTTCATCTTTCCAACTTTTTTAACGCATTTGAATATTGCTTATTGGTACAGGATAGTTTTCTGTCGTGCAGATTTGTTAATTTAGTTTCCCAGTTGTTTGAAATGCTGGAATTAGTGAATGACCGGCAATATTTTTGTTGATGCTGATGATTTGAACAAATTACAGGAGGGGTCCTTCGTTTAAGATCCTGCTTGTTATTGTCATTTCTCTATTGACCTCTTGCTGCTCCTATGGTCTCCCATGGCTTTCAAAGTGCATTCCCTGTCCCCCTCACCTGGCCGAGAAATGCCCAACTGAAGGTCGCTCTGGCAACTTCAAGAATTTCCAGTGTCCACCAAACCACTACAACGACCTCGCTTCCCTCGTTTTCAACACCAATGATGATGCCATCCGCAACCTATTCACTTCTGGTAGTGAAAAGGAATTTCACCTCTCCACCCTTATGGTTTTCTTCTTTGCTATTTATTGCCTTGGCATTGTTACTTATGGCATTGCTGTTCCCGCTGGGCTCTTCATCCCCGTCATTCTTGCTGGGGCCTCTTATGGGCGTCTTATTGGAACAATGCTTGGCCCTCTGTCTAATCTTGATGCGGGTCTCTGTGCCCTCCTTGGAGCTGCCTCCTTCCTTGGTGGCACCATGAGAATGACAGTTTCTCTCTGTGTCATACTTCTTGAACTTACTAATGATCTGCTTATGCTTCCGCTAATGATGCTAGTGCTCCTCATTTCAAAAACAGTGGCTGATAGTTTCAACGAGGGTATTTATGATCAAATGGTGAAAATGAAAGGATTTCCGTACATGGAAGCCCATGCAGAACCATACATGAGACATCTTGTTGCAAGTGATGTTGTTTCTGGTCCATTAGTTTCATTCTCTGGGATTGAAAAAGTAGGGAACCTGTTGCATGCTTTGAAAGTAACAGGGCATAATGGATTCCCTGTGATTGATGAGCCGCCTTATTCAGATGCTCCAGAATTGTGTGGACTTGTCTTGAGGTCTCATCTGCTTGTGTTGCTAAGAGGAAAGAAGTTTACAAAGCAGAGAGTAAAGACGGGATCAGGAATCATGAAGAGTTTCAAGGCACATGACTTTGCAAAGGCTGGATCAGGCAAGGGGGTGAAGATGGAGGATTTGGAGATCACAGAGGAGGAGATGGAGATGTACGTTGATCTCCATCCCATTACTAACACATCTCCATACACCGTGGTTGAAACAATGTCTCTAGCTAAAGCTGCTGTTCTCTTTCGCGAACTTGGCCTGAGACACTTGTGTGTGGTGCCGAAGACACCAGGGGTATGACTCTCCCAATGTTATTCGTGTGTTAATAATATGCATGTGAACACTTAGCTTTAGAATCCATGTGAAAACTCATGCAGAGATTTCCTCAAATTTCTCTATTTTGCAGAGGCCTCCTATTGTCGGAATCCTGACTCGGCATGACTTCACACCAGATCATATACTGGGGCTTTACCCATATATTAAAACTCACAAGTAGGTGAGCAAGCTATGTAATCCTTGCTGCCCCTAAGGACTCGTTCTTATGGAGCTGTTAGCTCCCCCTTGCCATTGTCAAACAAGGGAAGAAACAAAGTAGGTTACAAAGGATTCATCGGGGCTCAGATTTTACTATAATGTAACTATGAAAGCAGTAAAATGAAAACTGTTTCTCCCGGAATAAGATTTTATGCGATATTTTGAAGCCCAGAAAGGCCTAATTTGTGTTAAAGCTGGTTAAGTTCATCACTCCACAGTAAGATCAGCAATGTACAGAGAACCCTAAGGGTTGCTGAACTCTAATATTAGCAGGCCAAAGAAAACTGATAGCGATCTGCAGAAACGAAAGATAGAGGGGATGATTAATGCTGTTAAGTCACGTGGACTGGCTGATCTTTGAAGGGATATAGCCCCCCTGGGTTTTGAATAACATTACATTTTAGTCCATGAACTCTTAAAAGTTTTAATTTTATTCCTAATATTGAACAAATTTATTTAATCAGGTGCCTGCAAATAAATTGTATATTGGTCTTTGATTTTTAAGAATAAAATTTATGTGCATTCTCAAGGTAATATCTCTTTTTTCAACGTGTAAGCTATACATGCGTGTGGTTAACAATATATATATTTTAAAAAAAATCTAAATAGCATTGTTTTAATATTAAAAAAATTCCAACGGAGTCGGTTAAAGTTTTTAACTGGGTAACTATTTTTTTATCCAACCTGAATTGACTGACACAAGCTTCATTCCCACCCCGGATCGGTCTAGATTTTACAATTGTGCCCCTAATAACAATCACTTTTAGTCCCTAAAAATGAAAACAGAAACTTAGAGGACCATTCTGCAAGAAAATAAAAATCCCGTCCAGCGACACATGCATTTTGTTGGGTTGGCTTGTTTATAAGAGAAAAAAAAAAAAAAAAAAAAAAAAGAGGCAACAAATTTGTAATAATTAAAAGAGAGCTGCATCCCCAATTTTTTGAATCAAATCTCCTCTCTACCCACCCAGATCCAATCTCAGGGTTCCTTTCCTCTCCTCTCCTTCCTTCTGAGATCTGCAAATCTTCGCATACATAGAGGTCTGTATACTAACATCGTCATTTTAATCAGTTATGGAGGCGATCGAAGAATTGACTCGGCTTTCGGAATCCATGAGGCAAGCATCTGCTTTGCTTGCCGACGAAGACGTTGATGAAACCACTTCGTCGTCCTCTCCTTCTTCCAGCCGCTCTTCTACTTTCCTCAATGTCGTCGCTCTCGGCAATGTGGTAAGTTCCTCTCTCTCAAGTAATAAATGCATGCTAGATCGTTGGATCTGTTTATAGGTTTCTTTGCAATTAAGGCTGTGTTTGGATTCAAATATAGAAACTGTTGAAAAATGCCAGATAAGGTTGTCTTCTCTTTTTCCGTCTGGATTAAAACAAAAGGAAAGAAAGAAAGGAGATGAATGCTTGAATATCCGAACTTTTTGACGAGCTTTCTCGTTTTGAACAGGGTGCGGGTAAATCTGCTGTTTTGAATAGTTTAATCGGACATCCTGTTTTGGTAAGCTTGTATTTCACTTGCACTGTTGTTGATTTGATGCTATTTTTCCCGCTGACGACAGTTTTTTCTTATGATTTTGGCAGCCCACCGGTGAAAATGGAGCCACTCGGGCTCCGATTAGCATAGATTTAAGTAGGGATAGTTCCGTAAGCAGTAAATCAATTATTTTACAGATTGACAGCAAAAATCAACAGGTTTCTGCGAGTAAGTTCTCTTACTAAATTTTCAATTGCATTTTGTTTGCCAATGTGGCATCTGTTTATCGTGAATTTTCAATTTAATATCTCTGATTCTTGTTGGTTTCTCTAATTTGGTACGTCATAGGTGCTCTTCGGCATTCTCTACAGGAAAGGCTTAGCAAGGTTTCCTCCGGCAGGAGTCGTGATGAAATATATCTGAAACTTCGTACCAGTACAGGTTTGTTCCTCACTTAAAGACTGTCTGTAAAGACTATGTGGAAAGTAATAGTAAATTGGTGCAATGCAGATCATTTATGGCATTTCCCTATGATTATCAAGTTACATGGACAGTGTCAAATTAATGAGGTCTTAGTGCAGATTATTCATGCAAAGACACCAAGACAACATTCACCAATTCATGTACTTTCCCTGCATCAGTTTTAATTAATTTCTTTCCTCTGATATGTTCAGCTCCTCCATTGAAATTGATTGACTTGCCTGGGGTGGACCAAAGAATCGTAGATGACTCGATGGTGAGTGGTGTTATTTCATTTTTGGTTTTCAAGTTTTTGCAGATGGTACATGTGCGATTCTTTTGTTTTTTGCTAGAGGCCTAGAGCCTAACTGGAAAATACTATTCTCTGAGAAAATCAGCAAGCTGATTGTTTCTGTGTATCAGGTGCTGTACTTCAAAGGTCATTCAATGTTTTGGTGCTCTTCCTGCTGTATATGATTCAGATTTTCTCTTTTGTGACTGGGCTCTTTCTATAACTAATATTGTTATTGTTTATGTGGGTGGCTACCCTTGATGCTCTGTTTTTGTATGGGTTGTACCTCTTGGTGCTTATTAAATAAAAATTGCTGTAGTTTGGAAAGTCTTTTTTTATTTTTCCCCCCGTTTCTAAGTCAGTGTAATTGGAAGCTCTTTTAATGGCATTATTTTTTTGCTCTGCCAGATCAGTGAATATGTTCAGCACAATGATGCTATTCTGCTAGTTGTAATACCTGCTATTCAGGCTCCAGAAATTTCTTCCTCTAGAGCCCTCAGAATTGCAAAGGAATATGATGCAGAGAGTGAGTCAATGTTAACTTGCATCCTATCTTTTTGTCAAAAAGATCTATAATTTTGAAACTTTGAAAACTTTTTATTTGAGCTTTTAAGTATGATTTGTGTTGCATTATAGGTACCAGAACAGTTGGCATTATTAGTAAAATTGATCAAGCAGCTACAGATTCAAAAGCTATTGCTGCTGTTCAAGCTCTTCTTTTGAATCAGGGACCACCAAAAACATCTGACATTCCATGGGTTGCATTGATCGGTCAATCTGTTTCCATAGCTTCAGTGCAATCTGGAAGTGCTTCATCTGAGAGCTCTTTGGAAACTGCATGGCGAGCTGAAAGTGAAAGTCTAAAATCTATATTGACTGGAGCCCCTCAAAGCAAGCTTGGGAGAGTTGCTCTGGTGGATGTCCTTGCTGGTCAGATTCGTAGTCGCATGAGACTCAGGGTTCCCAGTCTCCTTTCTGGGTATTGCTCCTTTTCTCCTCCTTGTCCTCCTGCTGCTGCTTGATCTTTGTTTCTGTTAACTTATCTGTCTTTATTTTTTTCCAAAACTGTTGTAAATATCATCTGCTGTCTTGATATTGCTTCCTTCTCTCTGGCATTTTCCCTCTTTAAGACTAGAATTAGAAAATTATTATCAACTGTCACTCCGTCAAACAATTGCTAGATTAGGTCTGGGATTCTCCTGTATTATGATGCTTTGTGTCCATTAAACCTTTAATGCTGTTTATATGCTTTGATAAAACTTTAGGCTTCAGGGGAAATCTCAAATAGTTCAAGATGAAATGGTGAGGCTTGGCGAGCAAATGGTTAGTAGCTCTGAAGGTACAAGAGCTTTAGCTTTGGAGCTCTGCCGTGAGTTTGAAGACAAATTTCTCCTGCATCTTATTGGTGGTGAAGTGAGTAGTTTCTTTTTGAAGCATCTTATGCATCATTTTTATTATAACTGGAAGAGAGACTAGTGACAGCACACTACAGATGTTTCCCATGTCAGGATGGTTATAGCTTATATGAAAAGAAAAAATGGCCTCTGAACTTCTGTTATATTAATATGGTTTGCTTTCATCTTTCACCATGTAGACTTGCTTTTTCTCTTGTAGATACTATTTGAAACTTTTACGCAACTATTTAACATTATGGATCTATATTATGTGCCAGAAAATTAGAAAATCTTAAAATGTCAGACATTCCTCAAAGCTAAAAGGAAATGCCTTAAATTCACAGGATTAGTTGTTAACATGGTGCTTGCAGCCTGATGAATGTCACTGAACCTCCAGGGCTCATGTTCAAAGAATTTGAACTTGTGTGGAAATTGAATGTGAATAGGGACTTTCAAGAAATGAAAGTTTATAAATTTAGTTTAGGATATGCGTGCTTGAGTTATGATGTCCTTATGTGACGTAGCGGAAGCTTCTGTAGAAATAGGACGCCGCCTATTTCTGGGTAAAATTGTTCGAATCCTCGAACCAAAAATTTATACTCGAATCCACGAGTTTAGAAATTAAAGTTTTCCAAGAGAAAGTTCTTTGTTGAAATAAAAGTACCTTACAATGAAAAGAGGCAGCCTTTATATAGGCTGCAAGTCCTAATTCGACTAGGAATATAATTGTTTAGGAAAGAAATAACTAGAATAAAGAAAAAAAATACTACAGCTAGAAAAGTAAATAAATCCTGATATTACGACATTAATTAGGACTCCTAAATAAGGAGGCAATCTGCTGGAAGAATACTCCAATGGCAACTGTAGTTCCTGATTTCTCTGCATTTATATTATATCCTGCAATTTGCTCTTCCTCCTACGATCTGCTCTTCCTCTCCTCCTGTAGACTGTTCTACATCAGTCTCTCCTGCATGAAAAGAACTCGACCCCGAGTGAGTTAAGTGAGAAGATGCCATATCAGGAGGATGATATTCATACAAATCTGCTACGTTGAAAGTAGGGGAAATGGCCATATCTGCAGGAAGGTTTACAACATATGCGTTGTCATTAATTTTCTGAAGGATCTGGAAAGGTCCATACTTCTTGTCTTTCAGCTTGTTGTATGCTCCTACAGGCAATCGTCTTTTCCGCAAATAAACCATCACAAGGTCACCTTCTTGAAAGGTTTGGACCCTCCGCTTTTTATCTGCTGCAGTTTTGTATTTGGCATTAGCAGCTTCTAAGTTGTGCCGCACTTCTTCTTGAATGGACTTTATACGGTCTGCCATATTTTCTGCTGAAATGCTTAAACCCGGTAGTTTTGGTAGAGGCACTAAGTCCAACGCATGGCGTGGTGGACAACAATAAACAATCTGAAATGGTGTCTTCCCAGTGGACCGGTTGAGCATACTGTTATAAGCAAACTCAGCTTGTGCCAAAGTAACATCCCACTGTTTTGGTTTTGTTCCAGAAAGGCAGCGAATCAGATTCCCAAGAGTGCGGTTTACTACCTCCGTCTGGCCATCAGACTGAGGATGGCTGGTGCTGCTAAAATTCAAAGATGTGTCAAATCGTCGCCATAACGTTCGCCAAAAATGACTCAAGAATTTGGTGTCTCTGTCGGATGTGATGGACTTGGGAACCCCATGCAGACGCACCACCTCCTTGAAAAATAAGTTTGCTACGTGTACTGCATCTGCAGTTTTCTTACAAGCAATAAAATGAGCCATTTTAGAATACCTGTCAACCACAACGAAAACTGAATCAAATCCGCGTTGGGTTCGCGGTAGGCCTAGGATAAAATCCATGGAAAGATCCTCCCAAGGTGCTGCTGGGATAGGCAAGGGCATATATAATTCGGTATTTTGGGACTGTCCCTTAGCAGCCTGATATATGGGGCACCCTTGAACATAGTTGCCAATGTCTCTTTTTAACTGGGGCCAATAATACCTTTCCTCAGCAAGGGCTATTGTTTTGTCACGCCTTAAGTGTCCACTCAATCCTCCACTGTGTAAGTCATGAATTATTTGAGCTCGTAGTGAGCTCCTGGGTATGCATAATTGGTTACCACGGAATAAGTAGCCTTCCTGGATATACAGGTTCTCCACAGGAAACCCGGTTTGGCACTTTGTCCAACTATCTTGAAAATCTTCATCCCCAGCGTACAGCTCTTTTAGGCAATCAAACCCAATGATTTCAGTTTGTAGAGTGACCAGTAGCAATGTTCTTCGGCTTAGAGCATCAGCTGCTCGGTTTAGTCGCCCCGCTTTATGTTGCAGTGTAAATGTGAAGCGTTGAATAAATGAAATCCAGCGAGCATGCATTCTATTGACACTATTCTGGCTATTGATAAATCTTAGTGCTTGATGGTCGCTGAATAAAACAAAGTCTCGGGGTACTAGGTAGTGCTCCCAGACTTTTAAAGCACGAAAGACGGCATATAATTCTAGCTCATAGGTAGACCACTTCTGGCGAGCTTCACTGAGTTTTTCACTATAAAATGCAACTGGCCTGCTTTCTTGAGACAACACAGCACCAATACCCACGATAGATGCATCGCACTCTACTTGAAATAATTTGTCAAAATTTGGTAGCGTCAGGACTGGGGCCGATGATAGTTTTTCTTTGATTAGTTTGAAGCTCTGCTCTGCTGCTTCTCCCCAATAGAATTTCCCTTTTTTCATGCACTCAGTAATGGGCGCAACTATTCGACTAAAATCTCTAACAAAGCGTCTGTAAAACATTGCTAGTCCATGAAAACTACGAACCTCACTCACTGTTCGCGGAGTCGGCCAATCTCGAATGGCACAAATCTTTTCTTCATCTACCTTAATTCCATTAGCACTTATTACGAACCCTAAGAATAGCAAGCTACTGGTCATAAAGCTGCATTTTTTTAAATTAACGTACAACTTATTTTGCTGCAGAATTTGAAGTACTTCCTTCAAATGCGCAACATGGTCAGCTTAAGTTTGACTATAGATTAATATATCATCAAAGTATACCACCACAAATTTTCCCGTGATAGGTTTTAATACCTGATTCATAAACCGCATGAAAGTACTGGGTGCATTGGTTAGTCCGAACGGCATTACTAACCACTCATATAAGCCCTCCTTTGTTTTAAAAGCAGTCTTCCACTCGTCTCCTAGTCTAATCCGAATCTGATGGTACCCGCTTCGCAAATCAATTTTTGAAAATACTTTGGACCCAGATAACATGTCTAGCATATCTTCTAATTGAGGGATGGGGAACCTGTATTTAACAGTGATCTTGTTGATTGCTCGGCTATCAATGCACATGCGCCAACTACCATCTTTCTTTGGCACTAACAAGGCGGGTACTGCACAAGGGCTCATGCTCTCCTGTACTAATCCCTTCTCAATTAGTTCTTCTACCTGTGCTTGCAGAACTTGACTTTCTTTGGGATTCATTCGGTAATGGGGGCGATTTGGCAAACTAGCTCCTGGCATGAAATCGATCTGATGTTGTATGTCCCGTATAAGAGGTAACCCCTTAGGTAGGTCTGACGGTATAACCTCCTGAAATTCCTCCAATAATGGTAGCAGTGTAGGTGGAATGTCAATAGAATCCTTGCCAACTTCTCCTCTTGCTACAATGGCAAAAATTTCTCTAGCTTCCTTAGTCTCTTCCATGAATTTGCCTCCATCCACTAGCAATACTGGTTTTCCTTGTGGCTTCGATTTAATGCTTGCAAACTCTTCTTTTATAGGACCTAGAACGACCTTCAAGGCCCCCTTCATGAAGACATAAACGTTGTCACGGCCTCTGTAAGTGGCATCTACATCATATTGCCAGGGACGTCCCAAGATTATATGGCAGGCATCCATTTCCACCACATCACATGTAACCTCATCTGCATAGTTCTTTCCAATTGAGAATTTAATATGGCAGACTTCAGTTACTTTCACTTCAGTGCCACGTTTGATCCAGCCAATTTTATACGGTGCAGGATGCTTCCTGGTTTGCAATCCCAATTTAGTAACCATTGCTTTTGATACTATATTTTCGCTACTGCCACTATCAATGATAATATCACAAACCCTCTTATTCACAGTGCACCGGGTTTTGAATATATTATGCCGCTGAGAGGGTTCTTCTCGTTTTGGTGTAAATAGTAGTCGCTGAACTATAAGAGACCGTGACAATAGTTCTCCCTCATCGCCTTTTGTTACTTCTTCTTCTTCATACGTATAGGCTGCTCCGTTATCCTCTTTCTCTGTGTCGAAGAGGTACTCTTCTTCTGGCTCTATTAGGTTTACAGTACTCCTTCTTGGACACTGGTTGGAACGGTGTCCGGGTTGTCCACATCTATAACATTTATCCGATCCTGGACGAGCGTAAGGATTTCTAGGCGTCACCTCGGGTGGAATGGTGCTGGCAGGCTTGGTTGGTGCTCCACTGCTGCTTGTTCCTCGTATAGTGTTAGAGAAGGAGGGTTGAGTTGTTGAAGTCGTCGGGGTCATTGTGGTCTTTCCTTTGTTGACTGTTGCTCTATTATTATCAAATGGACTCCTGGTACCAACCATTGCCTTTGATTTATCTAATTGGGTCTCTGCTTTGATAGCCAGTGCAACGGCTTCTGTTAGGGTGTAAATTGTTTGCATTGCCACACGATCTTGTATAGCCCAGCGCAAACCTCCAACAAACCTGGCAACTTGTTGTGCCTCTGTTTCCAGCAGGTTATTTCGTGATGATAGCCTGTGGAATTCTTCTAGGAAAGCTCCAACGGTTCTGGCTCCTTGTCTACATTCTTGATATTGTTTAAACAAAATTTGCTCATAATCTGGTGGTAGATAACGGGAACGTAGTAGTCGTTTCATTTTATTCCATGTTTGAACCATCCCTTTTCCTTGTCGCAGCCGGGTACTTTGTAGTTGCTCCCACCAGGCAGAAGCTCCCCCTAATAGTCTATATGCAACTAACTTCACTTTCTTATCTTCAGGAATGTCCATGTAATCGAAGAACCTTTCAACTAATACCAACCAGTCAAGGAACCCTTCAATCTGAAGTTGTCCATTAAAACTAGGCAGGTCC